TAATAACCAGTTTAATAAACCCCACACTAGTGTTTTTGTGATTTTTCTGGTTGTAGCTTCTCCAGTGTCAGGATCTACTGCGTTTGCTGTGGGTCGACATTTGAAGCCTTGAGTTCTGGAAACCTTTTCTGATGTTTAATATAACAAATAATGAACCAATCATAAGATCAACTGACTATTAAACTAATCAGCAGCCCTTAAGACTTATTAAGAATATGTATTTTACTAACACCAAATACTTGGCTGGCCACAAAGAACTCTTTCACTCTTTTGTTAATTCACAAACTTCCATAGTCTTGTTGGTAAGTGGTAATGGTCACGTCATTGTGCCCATGTGAAATAAATGAATGTAAAGCATTCAGTCTTTTGTGCTGGGCTTGCTCAGTGATGTGAAATATATAAAACAAACTCCAAAGAAAATGCAGCAGTAGAGTTGTTGCTTAATTGAGGATGCTGGACTGCTGGCTGCCGTTACAGTCTCTCTTATCCATTTAATCCTCAGTTTTTAAAGCTTCTAATTGATATTTTGGTCATTCGGGGGCAGCAGAAAAAGCTGTAAACACAACATGGACACATTATCACCTTAAAGTTGTCATGGTTGCTTATTTATCACACACAAGAAGCAACAACATCTTCCATTTAGAGTCATGTGGTCTGTAAATGTAAGTCTAATAAAAAGTCTTTTTTTTAGCTGTTTTGGTCTCTACCAACTCCTGAGAGAATCTGTATGTATCACCATGCTCACCAGCTAGTCGCTAACTTTGGCTGTCTGCTGTACTGCATGCGTTGCTGCAGTTGGTTTATCAGAGCTTTTTTACTGTCAAGAGCAGCCTGCTGCGACTGGAAGCAGCGCTGATGAGAGTGGACAGAGTAAGCCAACAGTACAGTTGTAAAACCAAAACAATGAGCTCAAAGACATAATAAATATACATGAAGACTAAAATGTTCTGTAGAGCTGAAGGGGGCAGCAGTGTTCATCCTCTGTGGATTTGTCACTACAAGTGACCCCCCGCCATTTGATCAATTTTTAATGGAGCAATATGATATGAAATATGAAACTTTAATTAAAGCCCAATGAATAGTTTATGATTTGGTTAATTTGATTTGACTTTCACTCTGACACAGAGGTTCCGAGTGAAGGACAGCTAAAAACAAAATATAAATCATCCTGAGGCATGAACTCACACTTTGTCCCCACACAGGTAAAATCACTGTACCTTCATATGAAAGGGACGAATGGTTAAAATTAAAGAGATTTACACCTCGTACAGTCTTGCACATTGTGTGCTTTGGACGTCAAGCCAACTAAAGTGGTTTGTTTTGCTCTTCAACCTTTATCTGTAGGCTGCTGGTGTTTCTCTGCTCACAAACCAATCACCACTTCTGAAACAACCTACAAAGAAGTCAGCCACTCTCCTCCTGAGCAGCCTCTCGTCTGTCTTCTTCCCCTTTCTCTACTCTCTTATTCTGCTTCCATCCCATTCCCTCTTCCCCACCGTCTCTGTTTACTCATTCCCTCTCCATTTTTTCCTCTGTGTCTTCTATTGATGGATCCTAAAGTTCAGGTCCTCAGTACTCAGAATGCCAAATAGTGTTTAAGGTGTCCCACCACTGAGCTCAGAGCCTTCACGGACAAACACAAATCAATACACTCTGACTTTTACAGAGTATGCATGTCATGAGTTTAAATTGAATGCGGTGCAGTTCATTTGAAATTTTCTTTTATATACAACTAATTTGCAAAAGCAGTTGGGAAATGTAATGACCTGATCTTGCAACACTTGCAGTGAAAGCATTATTGATTTGTTTTTTGTTTTTTTTTACGAGTTATGGAAAAGTTTGCAGTCTAGTTTAATACAATTAATACAGTTTAATACAAAAAAGTCTGCAGTGACTTGACACGTGTTTATTAACATTTACGGGAGATATGAACAAAAATTTTAGTATAACTGAATACAACTTTTTTTTCATGATTTATAGCTGCATTATTGCACTCTATTGAGAGGAAATGCTAGAAAATATGCATTGTTCTCTTCTGTCACACAGCACAAGTAATTAGTGATAACAGTTGTTGAACAATATACAAAACACCCACCTGATCTCAACAGAGGCTCCACTTCACCTGTGATAGTCTGGTCTCATTATCCCTACAGTAGATAACTGCCACTCTAACATGATTGCTTTTGTTTTCCAATGAAAACAGGCTGCTTGAAACAAGTTCTTTGTTTTGAGAGACGCGTTAGCAAATGGAGAAAATAATAATAATTAACAATGCAATGACAAACTTAACACTGAAGAAATCTTTGTTTCAAAGTAGAATATCAACAGTTTGTGCATTGTGCAGAGATCTTAATGTAAAAACGTCAAAACTGACTTTCCAAAAAAGTCACCTTGTGTAACTAATGACATTGAAATTGCTGTTTAGGTGTGCCAGTGCTGGGATCCTGTTCCTACTGCTCCTCACAGCATTTACACAGCCTTAAGCTGCAGGTTCAGATGAAGACAAAGCAACAAACGTCACCGTAGGGGTGTAAAATTTAAATATACTTAGTCATAGAGGACACAGAATTCAAGCAAATTGCTGAAAACTGTTTTTCTTTTAGATTATTTATGCTCCTTTCTTACAGAAAACGTTTCTGGTATAAATAAGAGAGTCAATGTGCGTCATTAAACCAGATGGGCCTCCTCCTGTCATGGGTTGAAATACGATAAGACACTACTCTGCTTTGGGGAACAGAACTCCATTTAATATTACTGATGTCCAAATGTTTAAAAGACTTTGCAGCTTGTCTACTTGGGACAGAAAGAAAGACAGAGAGCAACAAGTGCACGTGCAAAGAGAGGAGAGTTTGTACTTGAGCATTGCAGCATTGCTGATGTCCATAGGGTTGAATTAGCAGACTGGAGAACTGAACCAAGACAACCAGTATTAACCACATTCCTACTGACAGCAATTTTGACATCTGTTCAGTATCCTGCATCTCCTGTATGAAATCAATATTAATGACCATGTGCAGATTTTGAGTGTCTTCATTTCTACAGAAAGAATTACAGTAACACATTTAAGACCTTTAAACCCTTTGACAATAGGAATCACAAGTTTGAATTACTTGCCACTAATACCAGGTTTTGTTCCCAGAGCATTTATATGTCAAGCCACAATGAAGTCTTTTTTGAGGTTTCTGGGCCTAGTTATTCCCAGAACAACACAGAAGTTTATTTTTGAAGGTATGCCAGAAATCCCACTATATTGTTGGATAGTATTCAATGGAAACTCCCAGTTCAGCCTGACTTACTGGCACAGGGTATGTTGCCACTTCACTTTCCTGAGGAACTGATGCTTTTCCCCTTGTTCCTGAGACGATTGAGCTGTTTGTCATACGACTACCTCAGGAGAAGGTGGGGACACTGCGGGGGGCTTGGGTACCTTTGAGTGTCTATTTGCAGAGGTGGAAGTAGTAGCCAGACACACAAATAAAGAAATAACTCAATGTATAATATTTGCTGAACTTATAATGAGGTACACATAGAAAGAATTTGTTGTTGACAGCGTTTCATAAAGTTTATTAAGTTTCTCCTAACTCAGCAACTCACAAAATTGCAAGAATTTCAATGAAGTCTGGATTTCTCCACTGGTGACAAAGAAGTAACCTATATTGGTTAATTGGTTTGTTTACTGTCAATACAATGTTGACTTCTTTCATAGAGTAAATGGGGAAATCTTTTGAATCTGTGTTCAAATACTGCTCCTAAATGTTGGCAGGTAAGGTGCACTTCAGACACAGAGCAGCCAGGTAGCGGTTGCAATAAATTGACTCAATGTGTCTTACAGGGATAGAAATGTATTTGATTTAATGCAAAATTTACAAGAACTGCAGTCTGGTTTCTCCATTTCTTCAGGGTATAGGAAGCTGTCATGAGCCAGCCATCTCATCCTGGGATTTTTTTTGTAGAGTCATTGGAGCTGTAGAACTTGAAGTTGCTGTCAGTTAAGGCTGCTTACCTGTGCTTACGCTGGCTTCTGCCAAGAGGCTGAGAAAGGTCTCTGTCCATCACATCATGTGTAGGTTCTTGCCCAAGGATACATTAATAATTCATGGGGTGGACGTCCGCCGTCCTAGGTATGAGGTGCCTACCTTTTTCCATTCGGCTTTGAATCTGGCAGGCTGGCATGAGTGCCTCTCCGTCCCTCTAGTTTTAAAATCTTGCAATGCAGCAAGCTCATAGCATCTGTTGCCTTGGCTTGAGGCAGCAGTACTTGCATCTGGCAGTACATGCTGGCACATTAGTGTGTGCATAATGCACATATGTAAATAGTTAATTTGCATTGGGCAGCAGCACTGTTGGTGTACACAGAGGTGTTTTTTAATTTTGTTATTCTTGTTTTATTTGGTTGGACTTCATGGGGTGTCCTGTGTATTGCTTGTAGTAAAGTTTAACAGTTATATACTTACTCTCTTGTGTCATATGAACAACAATATTACTGATAATACTGTTAGAAATTGAATCCTCTATATTTTGAATACATAATAAATAATGACATTTGAATGATGTTTAATGCTACAAACCTTTTACAAAACATTTAGTTATGAAAATTAACTTTTGTTTCACCAAATGTATCTAGACATACACCAGGTTTAACCTAAGTTGTAACCTGACAAAAATACTGTTGCTATTTCCTGTCTGCACTCTTTCTGTGCACAGGTTATCTATGTTAGCTGCAGGGGTTACATTATTGTAATTCCCTGTAGAGCGGAATGAGAACACACAGAGAGAGAGTGTGTGTTTTTTGGGCAAATTGTTACAAAAAAGATGGATTGAGGGATAACGTTGCTAGGAGACCCTGACATCAGCTATTTATCCCACTTGCATTCAGACTCACTTGTGTCTGTGTGTGTGTGTGCCTCCTCTCCCCACTGCGTCTGTGTGTCCTTGCTCTCGCTTGTACTATAAAGCCGTCAGCATCTCCTTCGCTCTCTGCTCTCTGCTCTCAGCTCGAGTAAAGTCAAGGCTGTTTCCCCCTGAAACATAAATTACAGCCAACTCAATCACGGTCGGAGAATGAACAACGGATGATGCCTGAGGTTTTTCTTTTTTGATAAAAAGATTTTTGTCTACTTTTGTCTAGGCTGTAGAGCAAACATCAACTCCCACACAAGCCGGTGTCTTCTTTGAATCAAGTGACTTTTCTGTCCTCAAAAGCAAAAAAACCCTGAATGGAGGGTTAAGACACGGAGTGAGAAAATGCTTGAACCTCACTATGGAGCTAAGGAGCAGCGGACGAAAGAGAGTTGAAGAAGAAAAGGAAGCTGTGAGTACGATGGAATGTTTACTTTTGGGTATTTGATGACTGAGCTCGTAGAAGACATTGCTCTGCCTCTCCGCAAACACTCCTCTCCTTGTGAACAAATCCCCACGGCTGCCTGGAGGCTCGCTTATCTCACAAGTCAGAAACATAGCATGCTTTAAAGCTCTGGAGGGTGATATCGTGGCAGTTTTTCATCCAACCTGATGTGAAGAAAAGAATCACTTTCATCTCTTTTGTTTGACTTCTGTTCTCCCGTGTCCTCTCTACAGGAATACATCTAATTACTCTCTTAGTATGCCCCTGCTTTGGTCTGCAAGGAAATGAACACCTCTGGGCAACTTGAAGAATCTTTGTTCGACCTTGTCCGTTCCCCTTTTCACTCTGTCTCATCCATCGCTCCACCTTTTTATTCACCTTGCAAACTTTTCCCTTTCATGCCTAATTCCTCCATTTCTTTTCTTCCCAAATTAATTTTTTCCGCAGACACACTCACCTTTTAGCTTATTATCGATCATCAAATGTTCCTACCGCTCTGTTCACCACTCACTACTGCGCTCCTGATTTTTTCCTTTTGCCCCTATTATCCTCTCCTGTTTCTCCATTTTCAGCTCTCCATATTTCTCTCCTTTCTTAAACCTGAGGGCACCCAGGACCCAGTGGCTGAACGTCTCACATACACACGTACTGCACATTCTCTCCCTCCTAATTGACACCTCTTCCTCTATACCTCTCATACCCAGCTCTCCTTCCTCAAGACTTTTCCTCTCACCTCCCTTACATTTATCCTCCCCATCCTGTCACAATGTACTCCTCCGAGGAGCTCTGGAACACCACCGAGCAGGTCTGGATCAACGGCTCAGAGGCAAACTTCTCTCTTGGAAGAAGACGTGGAGACAATGAGGAGGAGGAAGGGGAACAACACCCTTTCCTCACCGATGCCTGGCTGGTCCCCCTCTTCTTTGCCCTCATCATGCTGGTCGGACTGGTGGGCAACTCTCTGGTTATTTATGTAATTTCCAAACACAGGCAGATGAGAACAGCAACCAACTTCTACATAGGTGAGTAACACCAACGAGTTTGTATTCTGTGAAAGAGATGGATGCATATTCAAACACAGGACATCCTGGAGATCAATTGGCTAAGATGTGTATGTTATCATGAACTCCCAGTGACTCAGCTTATATCATAATGCATCATATAGTTTGCATGTCTCTTTCATCTATCCAGGAACGCTTCATTGCATGCCAACAAAGGGTTCAAAATAGCTTCAGGGGTTCAAAGGGAAGCTCAGTGTAATTTCACTCACAATTAATGCACAGCTATATGTTGGAACGTCAGTGTTGATTACAGGTTTCACTTTTACGGCAAGAGGAAGAGACAGGTATTCAGATGTGTCCTGAATTGAAAATGTTTTCCGAGACTGGATGCCTTGGGAGAAATTCGAAACAGGTAAAATTATTATCTGCCGGAGGCTATTGCAATAATTCATTTGTGCAAGTAAGCATTTTTTCATAGCTCAAGGCTAAAACTTGTTTTTAGCTTCTTTGGGCTTGTTTGCAGAGGTTTGGCTACTCTGCAGGTAGTGCTCAGGGCAGGGGTCTTCAACATTCTTCAAGCCAAGAACCCCTTCAGTCAGAGCAGGGCCCCCCTATTACATAAAGTGTATAAAATTGTGTTGCATATTAAACTGGGCCTACAATAATGTGTCGGGTGGTCGTGCATACAATTGACAGATTCATGTTTTAATTTCCAACAAACACATTAATTTTATCTTTGCTAATAATATGTTGGTTTCATGTTAATGTGTATTTTCAAATATATTTATATTTAAACATTTTCAAAATATTATCAAACAATGATTTGGTGCCCCCCTCCAGGGGTTGTGGACCCAGGGCTTAGGGGATACGTGATATTAAAGTACACAAAATGTTGTAAATTTGTAGCCGTTATGTCATTTGTTTTGTTTCATAAGAAAAATAATTGCTTAATTTACTTATGTTAGCCGAATTTCCAGAAAATCAGCACAAGCCAACATGAATTAATGTAAATTTCCATCCACTACTGAAGCAAATATTAGCAGTTGAGCACATTGACATAAACAGTTGGTAAGACTAATTTTCCAGTTGCCAGATGCCATTCATTAAAATTACACCAGTCAAACCTCAAGAAATGGAAATCAATGTAGAAAACATGAATGAAATATAGTATTTTGTTTAGTTCATGTATTCATTTAAGGAGAGTTACAGTCTTCTCATCACTGTACAAAGATTTGTTACTCTCGTCTCTTCAGTGGAGCAGAGGCTTCAGGTGATGTCAATAATGAAATGCTTCATGTGCATCATCAAGTCTGTTTCCATTGCACTTTGTTGCATTTTGTTTTTATCGGTAAATTGATTTTCCACCTCAGCCAAGTGTGAAAACGTTACAATTTTTCTGCCTTTTTCTTGCATTTTTGGCGTTTACACAGTTTTTAAATTTAAAATACGCATTTAAAACAGGTGGATGGAAAAGTACTATATAGTTGTTCTGGGGGACTGCATTGATCTTAGGTGTACCAGGTTAAAGAAAATAAATCAAAAGAGTGCATCAACCATGGCCTGCCTCACGTCTCCTCTGGTTTCCAGTGTACACTAAGCGGAAACCTGGATGATTGATTTGTGTTGTTGAAGTCAAATACAGCACGTCTGATAGAGCTGTGACGTCACCTGTCACTTGAGAAGAATTGCGAAGGTGATTGATTAACTGAGGTTAAGTCCACAGGAGATAAGAATTAGCCTAGAATAATAGATGCATATCACATAGATACATTTAAATGAGCTTGACTGCTCATGTGTGAATGCAGCAAAGTGGTTTGTGCAGTTCTGTGATTTACTGTAGAAACCATTTCTGTCTGGGTTTGCATATTACACTGTGTATGTGAGAAGAATGTGATCTGGATGGATGGATAATATCCCAAGGCCACGGCATTGAAACTGTTTAATATTCAGTAACATTAGATTAGCACATGCACCATCTGCACACCCTTTCAACATAATGGTCCAGCTAATGTGATTAGATCAGCTAGTAAAACAAATAGGACATACTGTGTGGCGTATTTGTCAGAATGACAGATTAAACTGAAAAATAGGGGAAGGCAAGATGAAACTGCTAAGGTTATCAATGTAACTGTAAACAAGAATTTTATATGAAGATAATGCGTAGGCAATGTAGATTTAAATATAGCATTTTCTATGTTTTTGAGTGTGTGTGTAGGTGTAGATGTAAGACCTGTCGTCAGTCAATCGGCAGTTGGGGCCTTGATTTTCTAAAAGCACGTACAGCATCTTCAGCATCAAGTCAACGTGCTGATTCTGACGTAGTCTCCTAATACCTGACATCAGACAAAACTCATGCAGTCCTGCGGTTGACACAGAACTCATGCAGTCCTGCGGTTGACACAGAAACAACAGTTCAATCAACAAGTTGTCAAGTTGTCAAGTTGTCAATCAACACAATGTCCACAAGTAATTTATGTAATTTATGTATGTAATTTACATGTCTTTAATACAGAATCCATATGACAGCACAGCCTCTATTAAGTCACATTTACAATCTCTGGATGCAGATTTAACTTTTGGATGTGGTGTAGGGCCACAACAACTGCAGTACAGATTATTTTCATTATCAGTTAATCTGTCAATAGTTTTCTCAATAAATCAATGAATCGTTTGGTCCAATGTCACAAAATTGTTACCCATCCCAGTTCCTAAAAGCCCAGGTCAACATACAGTATTTAAATGTCTTGTCTTTGGCCGACCAACTGTCCAAAACCCAAAGATATTTAGATGAATATAAAAAGACTGTTGTGTTGTGTTGTGTGTAATTTGGAGCACTTGTTGCATAGAATACTAAGAAAATCAGCAAATATTCACATTTGAGCCAGATAATTGTTGGCATATTTTCTTAAAAATTACATGATTGATTAATTAATTAATTATTGAAACAGTTGCTAATTATCCAAACTATTATTGATTAATCGATTAATTGTTTTAGCTCTAACATGGTGCCATTAAACCTGCACATCCTGTAAACATAATAATGCAGCGTTTTCGTAAGATAATTAAAACTATATCAATAAGGATGGTTATTAGTAAGACGGTTATTATTATGGTGGGATGATTGGATGTTTAATCACTGAAGAGTGAGATATATACCCTAACCCTATCCTTAGATACACTCTCTATAAAACATTAGACTTTGTGTATTGTTTTCTCTCCCTGCAGCAAACCTGGCTGCGACTGACATCATCTTCTTGGTGTGCTGCGTGCCCTTCACTGCCACTCTCTATCCTCTCCCTGGATGGATCTTTGGCAACTTCATGTGCAAATTTGTTGCCTTTCTACAGCAGGTAAAAACATGACTCAACAATGATAATTACACATTTCTTGGCTGTAAGATGAGCTTTCACATACATATATGTATCTGTGCTTTCTACAAAAAGCTTCTGAAAGAAAGACATTTATTAAACATGTTGGATCTGAACAAATTAATAATAGTTAAAAAAATGTACTCACAGCTAGGATATTTAGTTTTGGTACAATCAAATGCTCTTTTTAATCAGCTGAAGGAGGCTACAGTCTGTTCTTTAATTAGAATTAAATTACAGTAAAGGACTGTTTGAAAAAAGCTTCAATATAAAAAGAGCCTTTGTTGCTGTTATTATTCATCAAATTATTACTCAAAGTAACACAAAAGCGCTGAGCGAGTACTTGAATGAAATGAGTATGTGGAACAGATAATGAAGTTTTTTAGAGCAAGAGTATCAAAAGAGTAAAATTTGTTAAAAGTTTTGTTTTTACTCTTGTGAGAAAAACATTGCTCTGAAGCTCAATTATGAGGCTGTTCTGTAAAGTTTGTTTCTATGTGAAGGTGTTGGATTTTGAATTAATTTTCAACCTTGGCCTTGCCGGTGAGCAATGCGCAACTAATAGGAGGGCCGCTTTGTATGATGTTACCTGCAAGCAACCATGATAAAATC